TAAATGGCACAGTAAGAGGTTTGAGTAACAACAGAAATGTTCTTGTGAAGAAAGAATGTGGGGCTTAGAGAGCTAAGAAGTTGTAAATAAATACAGGCTTGCAATTCATTGCCCTCCTGACCCACTGTTCTTATACCCAAGTTAGCACACAGCTGCTAACGGAGATGAGATGGCAAGGAAAGAACAAGTAGGAGCTTAACCTGCCCTCAGTTGCACTTAATGTGGTAACTTTCTTCCCCTTCAAGTTGTCCCTGGTGAGTCTTTTCCTTACAGATGTTTGACCAAGGAAAAGTCTGACCAGGTTTAATCAGAAAAGTTTAATAGTTGTCCTCAGAGCTTTCATTTTCGGAAAATTCCAGTGCGTTGTCAGAGTTTTAAGACAAACAAGACCTGCCATTCACTATTGCACACTTGATTGTGCCTAACTATTGTGCCAGTTGCTGACACAACTGAGCCTCTGAGGATGGACAGTTTCTGGCCACTGTATAATCCAGCAAGGAAATGGGGCTACCACAACATCTTCCTTCTCCAAATGCACATTTTTGGATTCACTGGCTCATGCACATGTGCTGTTTGAACACGAAGACTGAATACTCTTTCATTGTGTCAACAGTGCCATCCATTAGAGTAGCATACTTGGAAATGGCACAGAACCAACTCGGGTATTGCTTTGGTAGCTGCCATTTCCATGACAGCTTCCAGACTTACTTTCATCACTCTATTAGTGACTAAGTGGAAGAGTGGGCTGTGGAAGAGCCTGTGCATATTTTCACTATCATAAACACAGATGTTGCTTTTTTTCCAAAAAGGGGTGAAATTAGACGGAATGTGGTCACCTGAGCCAGTGTGAATCCATAGATATATATATGTGACCCTTTGCAGGCCAACCTGTGATAGTTTTTGTGCTGTAAACAGACAAGGTCGCTCTCCTCAATTTTCAGACTAAGCTGTAAAATGCATTAACAGGGCTGCAGGCCTGAAATAATGTACCTTGCTCCGAAGCAATGCTCATTAGCTTAGGCTTGGCTGGTGCCTTTATTTCTCCTCTGATTTGCTGCTGGCTTGCCTCTGGCTTTTTCAGCTCACAGCTATATTTGCTCATTTTTATCTGAAGAAATCATGTAATGCACCTCTAGTCGAGGAAGAATTATTGCAAAGGTACCTAAAACCAGGCAGTATTTGTTACATAGAACTGCACACTTTACCCTATGCAGTAGAGGTACTTCTAGTGTAAAACATGACTAAGCACATAAAAAATGTTTAAAACAAGATGTAAAAGCTTACAGGAAAAAGAGGATTTTTAAAATGGTTATATGCACAGAATCAGTTACTAAATTGAACAGGATATTAAAACACTAAGGAAACATGAAGGTTTTAAAATTTCAGTCTAAAATCTCAGATCCTCACTGCTCTGTATTGCTGGAACTAATACTGCCAGTGTGTCCAGATTTCACTGAAAGGATTCATCAAGGAGAGTTTTCCTTTAGTTTGCACTACAGGACTGATTCTCTTGATTCAGGGTCAGAAGGTGTTCCTTACACAGAAGTTTATTGAAGAGCATGTAGTTAAAAATAGGCATGGATTAGAAAAGCTTAGCCTTTCTCCTAAATTTACATTCATACATTATCAAGGAGCCACCTAGCATATGAAAGAATCAGCAATGCACAGAGCACTTGGACAGCCTTTTTGGGTTTTGTTGAAACCAGAGGTTTAATAGGAGTGAAATTTGAGGAAGTTCCAGTTTTAGCCTGCAGCATTTTGCAGAAGCAGTCAGAAGGTGATTTATTTCCACGATCTGTAGCGGGATTCCACATGACATCTGAATAAAGGTCAAATCAACTGCGTGAGGTTTTTCTTTCTGTAGCTGTGCTCCTTTGAATGCCATATTTAATTAATGTAAGACCAGTGTGTGTACACTCTATTTCTTTAAAGCATATTATCCATTTTGCTTCCGTAGTGCATCAATTAACCTGCATCCACCTGTGACCCTGAATTAAATACATTTTTGGTTGCAAGAAAAAAATTCCATTAATGCCGTTTATATCATTATTTCAAATTGTGGGGAAGTAAGGCAAATCATATACAGCGAAGTAGAAGAAATGTATGTAGCTGCAGTCCAGAAACCACCTGGCTAGTGAATTTGGTGAATTGATTTCCCAAAGAAGATAAGCTCTAATGAGTTTGCCAAGGTTTAATTAAATGGCCATGAATCAGACAATTTATATGCAAAAAATAATTTGTAACTCTAAATCTTATGTGCTAGATGTAATCTAGTTGTGCTCATGAATCTTGAAATCACTGGGTTGTGTACGCTAGGGTGGCAATAAGTGATAAAAGTATTATTATAACATAGAAGATGACTGGTTTTCAACCTCTGCTTCATTTATAGTGTCTAAAATGGTCATGTTTGGTTTCTTTTTGCAATTTAGAAGAAATTGACTTCAGGTGATCCAAAGTTCGTAGCAGAAGTGTTTACATAACCAGAATTATAGTATCCCAAACTAGTAAGAAGGAGGATACAGATTTCAAGTCTCTCCTTTATATTTTTTGCCCATCTTTAGAGTACTGGTAACTATTAAATATAATGCTTTAATTGTTGTTTGCTCTTTAGGCTGTAACCTTACCTAGACCAAATCAAGTTAATACTTTCAACAACCACCCAAACTGTTGTGTTAGAACATATTTAAAGACTCTTTCCCAGTATTTCAGAAATACTTTTTTCTCAAAATCTGTCTCCCACCAACAGTGGACACATTCTAATTCCCAGGAAAGACATGGTGCATGCTACAGAGAGTGCTTGTCCTACATGAAGGTAAAGGTTGAGCAATGTTAATGAGCAGGACAGCCCAAATGACCCAGGAATAACCTAACTAGCAGTATTCAAAACAAAATGTTACTGATGTAGCATAAGAACTGGGCATTCATTTAGACATGTACAAATTGAATACTTTCTTATATGTGTATAAGTCAACCTAATTTAACTGTCCTTTAACTACACATTTTACAGTCTGACCCAAATCTTAGGTGTATGATGAAATCCAAGCCAATGCATGCTAACATGGATTCATAAACAGTTCCTGCAATGCTGGCAATAAACTCAGTTTTATACAGACAATGGAAACATGTTCTTAAGGGCATTGTTTCAAGTATGGATGTTTTGAAGTGTTAGGCACTTGTGCTTTATGAGTTCATACAGCTTCATCTCAGCAGACTTGGTTATTATGTCAAAAATGTCTATATAGCTTTAGACAGGTGCCGTTTGAAAACTATTAATTCTTTTTTCTTCCAGAGTGAGCTTAGCATCAGCTTTTACAGCACTATCTACCTACCATACATTACCCTGTGTAATCAGTGCAATCCCTGGAGATAAGTGGTTTCTAATCAATAAGTCAAACTTGCCGATAAGGTGGCAGATCCCTATTACATGTACTTTGTACTTTTACCTAAGCTTGCTGTAGCTACTGTGATTGGTCAGGAATGGGATGTTATGGGTTTTCCAAACAAAGCTCAGCTGCTAAGAGGCAGGAAATTATGCTATAGATGGTACTGAGGTGTTTATGTCTTAACAAATTAAATTACATGTCTAGGCATGTCATGTTGGTCTTCATTGTGAGAGGAATGTGTTTCCATCTTCAGTTCTTAAGAATTTCTGTTCACAGGACCTATAAATGATGAGACCTAAGCTCAGGTGTTATTCTTTGTAATAAACTCTCTACTTCTGTTCTCCCTTATGGATTAGCTCACCATATTTTGCTTTTGGCTAGCTCACATATTTTGCTTTTGGCTAATGGCAGCCCTACTTGATGAAAGGATATCTGTTTTGAATTTACAACTGTTTTGTTTCACAAGGTTTTTCTAACAGAAATTCCAGCCCTCCTGTCTGTTTTATCCATGGTTTCTGAGCCATTCTGACATAGTATGAGCTGTCAGTACCTGCCTGTAGTTGAAGGTTATGGGTGAAAATAAATGGTATATAAAGAGAGAAAAGTGTCAATAATGTATCTTTTCATCAATATAAATTTTCCTCCTACTATAAAGCTGTTTGGGTGTAATAGCAAATCATAATCACCAAGATGCTGGTTTACTCCATGTTAATAGTTTCAGAGATCTAGTCATCCTTGGAGGATTTCTAATGTACATGTGTAATGTGCGTGTATGTGTGTGTGAGCTAAAATTTCCTTGTATTTTACAGTTTCTAATGTATTAGTCTAAGAGGAATTCCTTAAAAAAGCCATCATTTTGGAGTTTCTAGGTAGCAGGAACAATGTATCATGGTAACATTTCTATGCTTTCTTCTGTGTTCCCTTTGTCTTGAGGCCATCAAAAAGGTCATGGCCCCTTTCAAGGCTCCAGAGTCAGCTTTTCTTCCAGTGGACCTGGACCTAGAAGTGAATATCATTTCCACCATATATTTTGCCATCCACCTATAAGATTGTTTTTAAAAAAAACACCACCCTCTTGCATGGTTATTGAACTCTGGTCATTTCTCCTCCACTTCTGCTTCCACTTTTTATTTCCATGGTACTTGCTGCTGCTTTTTCTTCATCTTCATCCTCTCATCCTTTCTTGTCCCTGGGAATTTCTCCATTGGGTTTGAACTCTCCTGTTCACCATAAAGAGTCTAGTTCTATGGTTGAACAATCCTTCAGCACCAGGAGATCTTTTTAACCTTCTTCCACCTCCTTTTGAAATCACTTTTACACTTACTTTTCCCCCAGAATAATTTTAACAATTGTTTTCATATCATCATACCTTCCTTGGTCAAGTGACCAGTTGGAAAAAATACATTTACATCACAACGTTATGTTACCTTGAGGAGCAGAGCAAGGCAGTAATAGCACCTCTGAAGCCAGAATGTACTTAGGCTAATTGTTGGCTTAGAGGTCCTTATATCTTTTAATTAGTTGTCCTGTTATTACCCTAGAGTGCTTTAATTTTAAATGACAGATAATAGCTGCCTTATCTCTAAGGAAACTGGTCTTGATTTTATTAACTTACAGGACAGAAGAATAATTGGCACATATCATTGTCCAGAAATGTATTCAACAAAGGTATCTTTCATTGTTTTCTAATGTTTTTATCCTCAGAGACTTAAAATTCAGGTCCTGACCACTTATGGTCATTAAAGATCCCATGGCACTTTTTTAATAGCGTGGTCATCTCAACCCCAAGCACCTGGCCAAATATCAATTTCTGTAACTGTTTTGCTTACCTAACATTCCCCACCACCACTCACCCACCCCATAGTTTCAATTGGCTACAGCATTCTCCATTTCCTTGACTAAAATATAGTGTACTGTTCTGCACTGTCAGTCACCACATTTCACCTGAGAGGTGATTGTGCTTCACTGGGAAGTGGCTCTTCTTTCTAATGGTTGTAAAGCGCTTTGGGATCCTTTTGAATGGGGCGGTGCTGTGTACAATTAATGTAATTCATTATCATTCTATCTCAGGCTTCATTTAGTTACAAAAGCATGTTTGATTTAGAGTTGGGCGAACCTACTTGGTGGAAATAACACTCCCAGCTCTCTCTAATCTGAAAAGGAACCTTTTGTCAAAGGTTGACAAGTTAAGTTAATTTCTCTCTGGGTTTTTTTTTTTTTTGTTGTTTGTTTCTTTCTCTCTTTTCATATTCATTTGTATTTCTGGATTGGAACTTTGGGAGTCCTCCACACTGGGAATTCAAAATACCATGAAAATGCTGTTCTTGTTATGGTTAATCCACTGTTCCAGGTACAAAAAGGTTAAATTAGTGCTTGAGAAGCACCTGAACTTTGTTGTGCTTACCTGGCTATTCTAACACTTGAAGGTTCGCCCATCACTAATTTTTACTGTATTTTGCATTCTTCTGACAAATTCTTGGAATATTGAAAAATGCTGTGCTCCAGCTCTGTTATCAGTGTGATATATGCAGAAGACGACACTTTGCCCTAGGAGACAGTTTAGAATATTTCTAAATGATTTTTTTTTGCCCAGCATCATTAATCTTACTAACTACTGCCAAGATTACCAGATACCTGTAGCATTTTCCTGTGTGAGGAAATACACTAGAACGAGAACAGAAATGATGAATCAAAACAAAAAAATGGAGGAGTAATACCATGTCACTAAAACATGCCTGGATCTAACTCTAATAGGCTAAAATAACTTTTTTTGTATGGGTGTTACATAGAAAGTATGTCAGTATAAAAAGCACTAAAATTTCTAGTATCATTGCAGATCAAAAGGATAAAATACTCCAAGTAGATTCAGCCTAAGAAGATTTAAGATGTGAACAAATTTGTTGGCACTAAAATCTTACCCAAAATAGTATCATAGAATGCACAACATTGAGGTGAAAATAACCCAGGCTGTGGTCTATGGGGTAAAACCACTGCATTAGTGGATGGTATGTCAAACTTCCCCTGATGTCATTGGAATGGAAGTTTCTATTCTTTTCTTAAGGCTTTGTGAAACTATGGAAAATGTACTTTCTAAATGGCTTTGCACCCCTCTTGTAAACCACTTCCCCTGTTGTTTTTAGATGTTCTTGGGATGAATGAATGCCAAATGCCTGTAATTGTTTTTCTTTTCAGGATACTAAAAGTCTTATAATTTGTCTGAGATCGTATAACAAAACTGAAAGCCAGTTTTGTCTTACCCAAAAAACACATAAGAATTTTCTAAATAACTACAATTACTAGAAGGAAATGTTCAAAAGTTCTCTTTAGAATTTTTATAGATGCATGAAAGGTTTTTCCTGTGTTTGCTTTGGTTTGTATTATAATAGCAAAATACTGGTTTTGCCTTGGTTTTGCCTTAGTTTTGTCTAAGGCAGAGGAGAAACGATTTGATGGCCTTCCCGGCTAGAACACAGTGTTTCCTCACCATGCTTAATATTGTGCTACAAAGTTGTTAAAGGAATTTTTCTTGAGTTACAGCTCAACTTTCCTACTTTTTCAGTGCTTCTCAGAAAAGACTGATTTCCCTAACACCATAGAAAATTCAAAGATTTCACATGGCTTTGATGGAAAGCGTGCAAAAATAGATGATTTGAGCTGCTTCACATTGAGACACTTAATCTAAACCTAAAATATAATGAAACTAGAGGGGTGCAAACTCACATATATTGAGGAGAAAAAACAAAGGGGGAAATCTGGCATCAGGGCAATGCTAATTTTTATGCATCACTTGAACAGATGTAATCACTCAAATGACAGCGTTTCAGTAGGTTCAAAGAACTTTTGTAAGTATCTGGCTTTCCTGTTCATAATACCGTACAGTGGATGCTACTAAAAACTGTATTCAACCAAGTTCTCTTATAGTGCCGTGTAAAATATGAGAAAGGGTTTTTTTCTTAAAATAATGGCAAATACAGTGCTATATTGGGTAGTGCAGCAGGGTGCCTGCTGCTGCCTTCTAAGCAGAATAGACTGATGCTGTATTATTGTTTAGAAATCAACAAAAGTCACAGTTTGTGCACTTTCAATAATAATCACTGTATGTATTATGTACATGATAAATTAATAATCTGGCTGAGTTATTCTTAAAGGAGCTCTGGAACAATTTCATCACTTATTTGGCCTGGAGTATATCTGCACTACCATCACTAAGTCAGTGTACTTATTTAGCTGCTCATTAGCTATTATTTTTTCTAAAGTACTTCAACTTTGCCCTGTAATCATACAATTTAAAATGCATACTTAGACAAAAGTGGGAGGAGAATTACAATTTCCTAAATAGCCTTACTTTTGTTTCCTAGAAACGGATTATTTTGAAGTTCTGCTACCATACTTCAGATCTGCTCCAGGTTGCCTAAGAGTAGAAATTAGTTCCTCATCTTTGAAATCCTCTTGTTTGTCTGAAGGGTTTCTTTACAACTTCAGATTAGTATTTTTATCTCACTGAACTGCATTTAAAAATAAATATACAGTAGCTAAAACTACCAATTGAAACAACTGTTCAAAGCACGTTTGACGTGATTACACTCTGTATGTTATTTTCTTTGCTTGAAATTGCAGATCTCTGCTATTCCAGCATTCAGATTTCCACAGCATGCACTATATTTCTGAAATTCATTAGCACTGGGGAATGGAATTTCCTCATAGGTATAGTTTGGCTGAGTTGGTGCATTTCCCCAAGTAACCGTCAGTCCTGTTTGGGATATAGGGACTTAAAATTTGCATTCTTTTATGCAATGCTCAGAGCCTCATTTTGCAGAGGCAGAGAGACCTTGTGAATACCCGAAGTTTTTGTCAGAGCAGAAGCTTTTGTTTGAAAGAAGAAAAGCCAAAGCAGAGCAGACCTCTTTCATTTGATTTCTCTCTGACACCCCACAAAAGTTCAATATTTGCCCAGGATTTCCTATCCAGTGGCAGAATCCTACTTTCAAGCTGAGCATTGTACTTTTTTTCAGGTATTGCTCCTACTCACTGGGGAATACTATTTATTCCATTATGCTATACTGGCCTTAGTGTTTCTTGGGTTCACAAATAAATATAAACAATAAATATAGTAGCAGCTATGCTTAAAGTCTTTCAGACAGGCTGACGTCCAATAAATCAGTAATGTTAGGTCTAGCTCTCGTCAGCATGGCTTCAGTTTGCAGCTGATTTGACTTCCTTTCTCTCTTGCTAAGTCTTCCTTTTTATTTTTTACAGATGGATCCACATGAAAATATTTTGTTGAGCACACTTGAAATTAAAAATGAGATGGCTGCCTCCGAGGCGGTGATGGGGCTTGGGGACCCTAGAAGCACTATGCTGGCGTATGACACTTCAAGCATCCAGTACCGGAAAGCTGGCTTACCCAGACACAGCTTTGGTCGCAATGCCCTGGAGCGACATGTGGCACAGAAGAAAAGTAGGCTACGGAGACGTGCATCTCAACTGAAAATTACCATCCCTGACTTGACTGATGTAAATGCCATAGATCGATGGTCGCGCATATTCTTCCCTGTTGTTTTTTCCTTCTTCAATATTGTCTATTGGCTTTACTATGTGAACTAAGAAACAAAGCCACACAGGAAGCAAGAACTGGATTTCTCTTCAAATCGGTTGTACAGCCAAAAGTGGGACTTAGAAAAATTCTATTCAGGACAAAAAGTTATTTTAAAACACCTTAGTTGCTGGCCCACTCTATGGTCTGTTTTTATAATGTTTTGGTTATATCTGCTAAATCTTAAATACGTCAAGTTGAAGTATGGACATATCCCCTTATCAAAATATAAGTGCATTGTGAGTGTGAAGGCAGATTGGATTTTGACAATCACGTCTGTCTCATTGTCCCTCACTCCTTTTTTTCCTTCTTTTTTTTATGGCCATTTGAGTTTAGAGGTAAAAATTCTAGAGCGGCATTTGAGTTTAGAGGTAAAAATTATAGAGCGGTATTTTCTAGTTTCAACAGAAATACTTACCGTTCCCTGGGAAACTGCATATCCAAGTTGTGCATCTACACTTAAGAGAGTGCACTAAGTTGTTATAATGCTTATGAAACATATACACTTTACCTTTTAAATGTGTAAACTTGAAAACAAGTAGTGCCTATCATCTTTCAAAGATGATGATGGTCAGAGGTTTCCCAACCATATTCAGGTATTTCCTGATATTTATTGAAAGAACTAAGCCTTTGACTGGTAATATCAGGGTTGGGTATGTGCACAGAAGCTGAAGCAAAAAGCACTAGTTTTGTTAGGATTTTTAAAGAGAGAACATATGTTCACAGTCGCAACAGCTGCAGTTGTGATGAGTAGAGGAATGTAGCAATGTTGTAAAAATGCATAAAGTTTGAACGGGTAGATATGCTGCTGGTTTGTGTTGGGGAAAGGAGATCATCGGTCCAAAGTGCCAAAATCAGTTCTCTAGGTGGCTGCAATTGTGCCCTACTTTTCTAGGGTGAGGAGAGCTGGAGAGCAGTATAAAATACAGCACCCAGGAGAGGGAAGGCTACATGTATGTAAAAGTCTGTGTGTGTGCATATATGCACAAACACCTATCTGTACTGTGCAAATGAATGTTGTTGGTTATAGTACATACCTTAGTCTGAAATACATGGAGTTGTGTGATTTCTTGCAAGTTTGCAATCTTTCCAGTGTTGTGCTTGCTGCTGTTGTGATGTTTAACACCTTATGTCCAGTTTGATTAAAGGTATCATACCTCTTTCAACAGTAAAGAGCCAAGCATATGTATTTAAGTACAAGAAGCTGTCAGGGTATTTTCTCAGTCTGGATTAGGCAGTACCATTTCACTTTTTATTTTGTTTTCATTAATGTGCTGGTTTAAATGGAAAAAAAAAAAAAAGGTAGCCATTAGTTTAAGAGTTTAATTACACTCTTGAATGTTTCCTGCGTTAGGGTGATTTCCACTGAAAAACAAACAAATTTCAGGTTTGCTTTAGAAAACTTTCTGAAATAAAAGTGAGAAGTTTTTTTACTCTATAGAGCTTTACTCTTATAGGCAAAATAGAATAGACAGAAAGTAGAATTTTACAGGTAAAGGGGAGTTTGTCATTTACTCTATTGTGGAACTTTTTTCTGTAAGGAAAAAAAAATCGTAAGAAAAGTATAAAAAGAGTAAAATTCTGATGACTTTTTCTTAAGCCAGATCCCCAGCGTTGTTTGACACAAAGTATTTCGTGAACTAAAAGCCACATCTGTTGTATCTACACTACCTCTCATCTGCATATCTCTACAAATCTCTGAAAGAAACTAGAATTCAAGTATCTTCTAAATAGCAAAGGATTTTTTCAGGCAGGTACTTTTTCGCCATTTAAATATTCCTTTGGCAATGTTTGAAGATAGTTCTTAAGAGTGTTTTTCATGAAATATTTTCTATGGTTTTTTTGTTCTTACTTTAAAAAAAGTAAATTTTTTTTTACAAGTTTCTTTGGGGGTTGTTTTCCCTGTTTGACAGTGAATGACAGTGATAGGAGGTAATCAATTCTGGAAATAGGCCTATTTTTTTACTTCATTTTGAGCGTATACTATGCTTATTTCTGCTTCAAATGGGAGAGAATAGTCCTCAGCCTGCAATGGGATCTGCCAGGCATACACACTACCTTGTTGCTTTCAGGGAGTTGTGTGTATGTTCACGTACTGCCTCCAGGTTCAGACTCTGCGGTATGCAGAGACAGGCTTTCATCATGCAATTGACTCTTCAAGTCAAAATGTTGCTTTTTATCCACATACTTAATTTCTGACTGCATTTCATGCATAATGCAATAAACTTTGCAGATGCATTTGAAATTTCAACTGATAGGTATGAATCTTGTTGGATTTTTTTCCCACTTTAAAGAAAAGGAGTCATCAAAATTCGGTATTTCCCTTCGAAGTCTGTTCTTTAAAAACACTATTATCACAAATAAAAACAGTCTTATATTATTCTTCTGTACAAACTTTTATTTTGCAAATTGCTGCCAACTCCTTTTTTATTTCACAGAGCGTAGTGTGAATACAGGGAGCTCACAGCCTGTTTGTGGATGATAGACATCAAATAGAAAACCTGATGGAGAATATGTTAACTCTCTGCATTGGTTTACTGCATCAGCTATTACAAAAAACACAGAGGTTGAATCCTAGAACTGCACATTCATTTATCTGAAGTTACAGTACAAGCCATAATACTCTCTGATGTCACTGTTCAGAGAGTGAAAGAAAATGTCTGGTTTCTGCCCAGGTGTCACTAGGAAAGATATATGTGGGGAAGGAGCACTTTTTGCTTTTACTATGCCCTTCTGGGTATTAATGTGATGTATAAAATTAGTGAAAGAGAAGGATTCTATCATTTTGTACTAAGGCTTAACACTGTGATATAAAAAGATGGGGGTGAGAAAGAATGGCGAGGCACTGTCAAGGGAAAAGTATAACTCAAGCCCAAGGTGAGCACTTTCTCCTCTTCCGAGGTACTTGAGTGAAAGTGAGAAATTATGCCAACATACAGGAGATACTGGGTTTGCTATATATGCTACCCTCCAGGTGAACTGGAATAAATTTGCTTTTACTTTAGAATTGACTGAAAATGAACATTCTAGATCTTTTAATCATGTTAATTGTTGTTAGCTTCAATAAGCAAAGTATCAAAGTTAATAATTTAGGTAAACCTTGTAATATAATTATAGTTGCACATTTTGTTGTTCTATTAGACATAATAGCCAGCAATTAAGGTGTTTTTCATCTTTGTGAAATTCATGGGCAAATTATGACTATAACATGGCACAGTTTTAACAAAATCTTTGAGATCAATCTGTAAATATATACTGTACATGACTGCTAGTAACTATGATACACATTTTCAGAACTGAAAATTCATGCAACATTTTTCTGTGTTTGCATAAGGAATGTTATGTTTCTATCCTATCACAATTTAATGGCTGGGAAGAAAGACTCAAGCAATGACATTGTCACCATTTCTTTTCTCATTCCCAGGGGAGGAAACCAGAGTCTTAGATAACAGCATGCCGCAGAGCTCTTCAGAGAGTTTTTACATTCAGATAAAAAGGACATAAAATCTGTAAGGTACAAAAGCACAATGTATGGAGAAAAGGAGTGGTGGTCTTACACCCAGGGGAAAATTTATTTCAGACAAATATGCATTAAAATTAAACCTCAGTTAATTTTCACTGTAATTATTAGACTGTGTTCCAATTCTATACTATAACACAGTACTAAAGTGAACAGATGTTTAACATAATCAAGCTATATGTGCATATGGACATGTACCTAGATGTCTATATGGACATATGTGTGTATATATACACGTACCGAGTATATATCTGCGCACACATTCATATGTTGGTGTGTTAAAGGAATAAGCCAATAATAGTTTTGTTTCTACCATCAAGCAGTGTATGAATATATTTTTGAGAAAAAAAAAAGGATTAATGTATTTAAAAAAAAACCAACTTACTATACAGGGTAACTGGGTATTTCTATATCAGTCAATCAATGCTTATAATTCGTATGGAGCATTGCACTGTTTGACATGATGATAGTACTGTACCTCCTAGCATCTGAAATTAGACTAGTCCTCACATTGCTTGCCTATTTCTTCTCTCTCTTTTTATAACAACATTGTCCACTAGTAAGTTTCCAAAACCAACAAATCCTTAGGGAACCAAGAAAAAAAGGCAAAAATATTAACTATTTCTATAAAATAATCTAGGGTGGGATGGCCAGGGTACAATACATCAGTAGTGATCATAACATTTTGCTATGTGTACATAGAACATAAAATGTGAGCAACCATAACTTAAGCTGAACGTGTGTAAATATTATCAGATTTCTTAAACATTTTTAACTTCTAATTTGTACTTTATGGTAAGGCAAAAAGCTAATTCTACTTATGGTTTAGGTTCATGTGTCCTAAAATTATGTAAATAATTCAATAAGCTGTAAATGAGCAGTCAATAGATACAGTAATTGTTTAGTGACTTTTTTTTACTAAGTACAATAATTGCAGTGCTCTAGCAGAGTAATTTAAACACCCTTTTGCATAAACAGATTTGGATTCCAGATATAAAAAAAGTACTGTAGTGTAAAATAACCACTGCAGCCACTGCTAGCACAGTTGAATCTCTTGTATGGTTAAAATCTTTGGGCAACAGAAGCTTGTAACTTGGCATTCAGTACTCAGATTAGCATATATATACAAACAGGGACTGGTTTTCACTTACAGTAAGGCACCTTTATGTTGCTCCAGTGAGTGGAGAGGTGAAGGAATCCAATGTAAGTGAGAATTCGGCTGTTGGTGATTTCATTACCGAAAGCCTGCATATTGCGTCTGTTTCTGAAATCTGTATCTCTTACGGTATCTAATAGTAGACTTATATTTTTCTTTACAAAAAAAAAAGAATAAAAGGATGTTTGACTGTCATTAGATAGCATAGTCCCCCAAAGCCAAAGAATCTTCACTCCAGAAATTGTTTAAAAGGGAAATCTAAGAAGTCACTGCTTAACACCAAAGGTAAAGCTTAATAAAATGCACTAGGAACTTTGTCAAAATTTTTAAGAAGCAAATGGAATGTTGATCAAAAAGACTGCCCTATTCTACTTTGTAAAGATAGTAATAACTTAAATACAAATTAATATAAAATTGAAATAGATCATCTCTACAAGAATATGCAACACTAACATTTCATAAGTATAAAATTATTTTCTTTGTAAGTGCTTTGAGAAAAAAATGAAACTTAACTGATGAAAAATCTCACCTCTACTTTCATACTAAGGGTTGTATTTTTTTAATGTTTTTCAGACATGAGGTCATCTATTCCAATTTGATAGCATTTTGTATGTTTTCACTGTTCCTGTCATTTGACAGATACTCACCAGGCTGTATTGTTCATGGTCTGTCCTGTTACTTTCAGTTG